ACCCTTGGGAAACGTATGAATTCATCTCTTCTCTCACCCCCCCCAACTATGGGTAAATGGCAAGATCGTATAGCCTTGGGTGGCGAACGGTCGAAGTGGACAACTCTGAATGCGGTGGGTCGTTGGAGAAATTGTCGTATACTGTTCACCAGCTCTCTTTATTCGGCTCTTCCAAAAGTGTGTCTGGTTCTGCACTAACCATTACCACTATAATGAAAAGATATATGTGACTAGTCTGGCTATTGATTCTAAGAACTAAGCTGCTTGAAAACGACGAGAGAGTACAGTAGTGTGTGTGTGTGTGTGTGCACACTCGCGTGTGTGTGTGTGTGTGTGTGTGTGTGTGTGTGTGTGTGTGTGTGTGTGTGTGTGTGTGTGTGTGTGTGTGTGTGTGTGTATTGTTTATAATTTTAAATATTTAAATATTGGAAGAATGGTCAATATAGATGATAGGTGATAGATCGTGTGTAGATATAGGCAATGTGTTCATAATTCATACACAAGAGGCGAGAGGAATTAATATTAAAGACTTAATTAAGTTACATATTTTAAAAATAATTAAATATAATTCCATTTATTACTTAATATGTAAATGATTCATTATGTAATTGTCTTTAGGGAGAATAATGCAAAGAAGTTTATTCCATAAACCTGAATATAACGAAAAGTATTTCATGTTTCTGGTAGTTTCCAACTGTATAAAATCTACAGACAGAACAGTGAATCTTCTCATTCTGTAATCAACGGTCTAGTCACTCACACAACAAATTCCTGTTACTCAAAGATAGCACACCGGGGCTTTCCAAATGAACTAGGAATCTGAAATCAGGTTGAGTTCCATTAGAATGACCTCGAGAAAGTAGTCTATTCTTGTCTACTTTATGAAACTTGAGTTTATCAAATAAGAAAAAAATTAAATTTATGAGGTTTAATATAAATGCATATAAAGTGGCATTGTGCTAAATAAAGCAATGCTTAGATTATATATATATATGTATGTGTGTGTGTTCTTGTGAGTAACTATATATAGAGAAAGAGAAAAAATATTTTACAAAAAAGTAGAATAAATCTTTACACCTACACTTTACACAAGCGTGCGAGTGAGAGTAAGTGAGTGAGTGAGTGAGTGAGTGAGTGAATGAGTGAATGAGTGAGGGGGTAAAAATAAAGCGAGAAAGTCACGTTTGTCTGGTGAAAATAGTTTTAGGTGTTTTCACCCATATTCACCATTTTTAAGAAGCATCTTCGGAACACTGCACAAAAGACCTCATTCTTTTTTTACTATAGAAGTTTTAATTTTCTACGCCATTCGTAAAAATGTTAAATATAAATTGCGAAGAACGTTGGCAGACACACACAAACACACACACACACATCCAAATATAGATATTGAGTTGGGTCATAAATAATTTCCGTTTTTGTTTTTCAACTTTAATCTTCACAATATTACAACTGTTTCCCCAAAACGAAAACAGCCTAATGCAGTCACACACACACACATACACACACAGAGACATACATACATACATACATACATACATATATATATATATATATATATATATATATATACTCACGAACCAACGTAGACATATATCAGTAAAATGAATTAAAGACGCAAGCGAATAATACCACCACTATCCGTTTCACGTTGTGTGATCATGTTTTTTTTGTTTCTTGTTTTTTTAAATATTATTGGCTTGTGTTTACTGGTGCCCCCTCGGTGTCAACATCTATGCTGCTATAAATCTGTCGCAACAAAATCTGCAAAAATAAAAAAAATATAATCAACATGAAAAAATAACAAAAATATCTGCATAACAAAAAAGTATGGATTCTGTATTGAAAGAATAAAAGGGTGAATGTTTTGACGCAGAGGTTTAGAGAAGCAAACAAGGACTAGTTGCAAACCTGCTTTTCAAAGATGTGTGGAGGTTATACATTATATTTTGCTCAATTAAAATTTACGATTTTTTTCTATTATACGCATGACAATTATACGTAAATACATAATAGAAATATTGATAGAATACAAAATAAAAACGATGTACTCCTGGGTCAATTTAAATATTAACACTGTGTGGCACAACTCAACAAAACAGTCTCAAAATGTGAATGTCAGTTGACTCCGAGTGGCCCGGTTGCGAGTAAAACATGAAGAGCAACTCATATCAGTGACATACGACATACAAATATTAAAAGGTTAATGCTGTTTAGCTATAGGGTCTAGGGAATTTCGATTCTTGTTTCCACAGGGAATGATAAAATGCGACTTTCAAAGAGGCAAATGTCGAAGCAGCAATTCACGGGAGACAGTAAGCAGAGTGAGAGATGATAAAGGAAAACAACATCAGTACAAATAAGCTACATGCAAACAATAAGCGTAATAAGTAGAGAGTACAATTAAAATAATGTGCACTCATCAAAAGCAAGATTTTTATGTACCTGATGGAGAAGAATGTATAATAGTGATACATAAATATATAGATGTATATTTATTAATGGAGAAGATAAAGTTAGACGAGTGATGATACTGAAATCAATGAAAATATTGAAAGGTTCAAAGGGTGATTTGAAAATCAAAATTTGATTATTGATCTTCAATCTGAAAGGGCATTTTGGTATTGAAACAACTGTGGGTCAATTATCAACAAATATATACACTAAATTTTATTTTTAACTAATGTTAACATGCTGAAGGAGAAATTTCAGAAGCATTTTTAAAGTTTTTTCATTAACGTGGGTATATTTTGATGAGATTTTTAGCACTCTAATTTAAATTGCATCTATGTTCTCTCACCTTTTCATGCTATGATAGAAGATTAATGAACTTCCCGAAAGCTACAAGATTTATCGTTTTTTTTATTTTGTTTTCTGGTACTAACACTTACGTCTTTCATATAGTTATCTTTCTCTCCTTTTACCAATAGATTTGCAACTTTCTGGTAGGGCTAATACAAGATACAAATTCCGTGTTCTGTTTTCAATAATCCCCAACTTTCTTCAGATTTAAATCGTTATTCTTAATAAAGACACCAATATTACTTAGGAGCCTTAGCTAATAGTAACTCTCGTGAAAACTGAAGATTTTCCTCAGATTTCTTGATGACTCGTGTGGTGTTCTTGTCTGAAGAATTTCAATTATTCTCCAGATTTCTATCAGTTCCAATACATTTTCATAGATCTTCGGTCCATTCCCTTTTCTTTAATATTTTTAGCTTAATATTCTGGAAAAGAACACAATATTTTACTATGGATACACCCGATGAGGGGATGCCTCTGATTTTATTCCTTTGATTTATACTGTCTTGAAAAATTCCTTCTCATCAGATTATCTTTCCTTGTTTATTTTCATTTATTGCATATTTCTCCAACAATTGCAAATATTGAGCTTTATGTTTGGAATGCAAACTCCGAACTATTTCCCTTTTCTATTGGATTTCCTTTTTTTTCATTACTTTTTGTATAAAAAACTGTTAAATTTTGCTAAATTTTCTGCTTGAACTAATAGTTCCATAACCTCTTTGTTCCATGCTAGTTTATTTTAACAAGCAATGTTTTGTTTCTTTTTTTTTTTTACATTGTTTTTTTCTTCATTTTTTTCGGTTTAATTCATTTTCAAATTGAGCTCGGCAAGGACAGTTACGCCACTAAACTGGCCTGTCCTTCTTGCCTGGTATAAGACAATCAGATTTGGTCTTGTTGCTAGAATGGAATTGAGGTTGATCAAAACTTTCTTGTTATTTTCTGTTTATTTTGAAGTAGCTAGTTAATTCCACTATTTAAAATAATGGTAGGTATCTCTATTCAAGCACGAGTACCCATTAAATATATAGAATATTGTAATAAGAAATGATATTGAATTACAATATATCCATTGTTTTGAAATTACTTTGTTTATGTTTCAGGTAAAAAAATAAAGTTTTTCAAATTTAAGCTTCGAAATCGCAACGAAATATGCGCATTTCTTAAATAGGGTAATTGAGTTTTGCTTTGCTATGATTGCTTCTTATATCTTAGTGATAAAAAATACCTGGTTTGAAAGTGTTTGAAATGGGATAGTTTCGACAAGTCACATTATTATCTTCAATAAGTCTTTCGATATCTAGGTCAGTAGTTATTAATATCACAATTTAATATAAAACAGGTACATACTAAATATAACTTGTTTTTAGTTCTCCAGTAGTTTTTATATTATTTATTTGCAGCAGATTTTTAACTGCACATCAAAACAACTTAGATACTCCTTTGAGGCTACAAATAAAACTTCTTGTTCGTACAAGATTAATATTAATAATGGTATTAATATCTCAAAGTGAGATCATGAACTAAATCTGAATAATCAGTGATTAAATAATCAAAATTTGATTCTCCTCTTATTATTATTTCTGTCGCGTGTTTTTTTCTTCTTTAATTATTTTCAGACGGAGATCTTCTATTATGGGTTGTTTTCCATTACGTCACGCGATCTTAGACATATAACACCAATAGCAGAAAATTTACAGCGCCAAGCAACGCAGACTTCTGAAGTAATGTGATACGAAGCTTTATTACTATTTCTTTTCTTTCACTAAACTAAATTCTACCTTTGGCTTTCAAATGACCTTCCCTTAAACTTTGACTTCCAACTACTGTGGACACTGCCTCCTGAGAGAAATAACAACTACATGATGTCAATTTTTCTACCATGTATTTTTCATCTTCAACAGCCATGTCCCTAATATATTTTTCAGTAACGTTTTTTCTCACTCCCACTTCCGATTTTGCTTTCAGTCTCTTTTTTTTATTTCCGAGGCCACAAAACCGCGCCCAGCCGACGACCCATATATGCTAGGCCCATTACCCTGGCAAATAAGCAATCCCAACAATTACCAATGAGAAATGACCCCCCACCGGTTCCACCCTTAAATGTTAGTATCGAAAGAGAATTTTGCCAAAAGTGATTAGCTAATGGGGGCTGTAACCTTACTTCGTGACTCCAACCTTTAGTTATTATAGGCTCAACTGCGACATGCCACAAGCGGTAATTTTAGTTCTGATAGATGAACGAAAGGCAGAGAGCGACTTGACAGACATTTTGACCAGTCTATGGACAGCGTGAAACAAAAGTCATGGTCGACTGTAAGGTTGAAAAGCGTAAATCCATAGCGAGAGAGTAAGAGAGAGAGAGAGAGAGAGAGAGAGGGAGAGAGAGAGAGAGCGAGCGACAGAGAAATATTTATGCATTCCTAGTCAGGGGAGCGGCTATTTTAGCCAGAAGATTTAACTCCTTTAGGGGATCCATAGATATACATCAGCGTTGTTCGTAGAGACTTCATTAAATATTTATGGTAATACCATCTCGTTGATGGGTGCGTTCGCTCGGAGGCATCCAATAACATTGCTTCCTGATCAATTTAATGGGATGGATCGAACGGTGCATGGAAATTGTGTACACTGAGCAAAAATGTGATAGAAGGAAGAAAACAAATGAAAATAAGAACAAAATCGGTCAGTAGAAAACAACATACAATGCGATTGTTTTGCTGACTCGAGTGTAATTATCTTTGCTTCTATTAGCCTCTGCCTAAGTTATTTCTGTGGGAACTGTTAAAAATGTATAATCAATATGAAAAAGAAAAAGTGAAATATCGCAAATACGAGGTCAGTTTTCGTTGGTAGCCTACATGACCATTGCAAACGACACGAGTACATCAGTTGATGGTGCAATGGTTGATGATTTTGCTTTTAGTTTTATTCATTGTAATCTCCATTGAGCTTTATAAAAAGAAAGCAGTACAACATTTTAGGACTTTTTTTTCTTTTTCTACTTCACGGATTATAGTATTTTCACTTGATGTTTTCCGGTTGCTTTAACTTAAAAAGTATGTTCCGTTTCGTATTTGCTTTGGGAAATGTTAAGATACTTTCACTTGTTGATGTGAGTGATTTACAAGCCAATTTATTTGCAAAAAATATTTTTCTCTTTCTCTCAATAAAACCTGACATTTAAAACATTATTTTTTTAGTAATGTAAAACTTTCTAGCAGCAGAATTAGTATTTCCTTAATAAAACGACAAACTTAGAACATAATTCTAATTTACCTGAGTAAAATAAATAAAGAATATAGCAAATATAAAGCATCTTACTGCTCTATCGCTACTCCCATGGAAAGTCCTCGGACAAACTACAGTCCTTGGTCCCGCCAGGTATAACCATGCCTCTTACATTGGAGCAAACCACCCACATTCCACTTGAACAGCTTCTTCCTGCGAACCTCAGCTCTGTGTAAGAGAATGTTCCCCCGATCATTGCAATCCTAACCTGTTCGTGTCTTCCTCTCTGTATAAAATACCCCTTAATGTAATCCTCTACCTCGAGTGGCCCGTAGGCCTTGTCTATAGCGAACCTTACTGTAAAAAATATTTGCAATTTTATGCATCAGTCAGTTCGAACGAAATCGGAGGAAAAAAGAGGAATTTATCGATTTTTGATCGGTTAAATGGATTATTGATTTTTTAAAATTATCGATTTTTTACGCTAAGATCCTATCACTTACATAGTATAATGTATGTGCCAAGTTTGGTCAAAATCGGTTGGATGGATCGCGAGTGAAAGAGAGGCACACAGGCATCCTCTGTTTTTTTAGAGACAAAATAAGAATGCAGATATATCGTAAAGCCGTAACACGAGGGGAAATAGAAAAATCAGGCGTGGCTGACCACATATAGATGGGAAAGGGAAATCACTGCCCCTTGTGGGGTGAGGTTAAATTAATATACAGGACATCACTGAAAAATAGGAAAACTTAAGGAATCAGCACATCTGCTAGGCCACAAAATCTCCTAATCCTGCCAAGTATAGAAATGAATACAATATGGGAACTATGAGTGCTAGAGAAAAACAATAATAACACCAAATTGTAATATGAGCTTTGGTAAAAAATGTTTATTGAGACATTAGGTTTAGAAGTTCCAAAAATCCATACGCTGGTGTCCTCAAAGCCAGTGGATAAAAATGTTGGTTTAATCTACTGACTTAACCCAAGTAAGTTCAATGTCTGGCTACTTCTGAGGTGAACAAAGCACTTGAGTCAAAAGGGAGATAACTGATACTAGGATATCCGGAATTTGCATAGCACGTGGAACTAGAAGAGGACAGTTCGAATTTCAATCATCTGAAGAAGACCGGAGCGTACAAAGATCGAAATGTCGTGAATATGACAACAAAATTGAGGATAACAGTATAAATATTGTAAATAAATATAATTCTCTATTATTTAACTGAATAAATAGTTAACTTTTTGACTGTTAGTTCGGCAAATAAAAAAAAATACCAAGTCCCATTCAAGGTAGAAGATTAATGAGTTGAGATTATTGTAAGAGTGGAAAAGGAGTAAGTTCAAATTATGAGCAGATATAGGATAGATATCAATGACCGTGGTTATAAAGTGACCGAGATTGTAGTTGTCAGGGAAGCATTCTAACATACTCTCGGCAGTTTGCTCCACAAAGCAACATTTCTAAGTATAAGCTGTCTGAGTGAAACTTTCTCCTTATAAATGAAACACGAATGGAATGGAAATTATTTGTTACCGTGAACTTCGCATGTCGTGTCCTTGCTGTGAAGGTCTGAACTGGTGGAACTAAGGAATGTAACTTTTTTGAACATCTGCCAAAGTAATAGCGATAGAGCAGCGAGAGCTTAGCAATGTTTCGTCTGTCGAATAAGAGTTGCAGGGCGAAGAGTAATTCATCACATACATGGCCGCGTAATCGCTTTTGAACTCTGTCGAGTGTGGACAGTAAGAACCGGGCATCACCATATATGGTATGGCAACGATACTTCATTTTTTATTTGATCTAACTCTTGTAACAACAGAGCATCACAGCAGGAGTTAGGTATTTTCTGAAACAATTCAAAGAATCGACCATTCTTCCAGCATCTTTTGCATTTCAGGTCAAGTGTGTGTCTTAGACCCAGTAGCCGTTCAATGCAAAGGTCCTCTTTGATTCTATCAGTAATCATCGGGATTTGTTATAAGTTCAGACATCGAATAACAGGGCAATGAAATAAGTTGGTTGGTTGTTTTTGTTTAGCGGCATATCAACCTCTATTTGATATTTAATACCAAAATCTACATATTTTGTACACAATTTTATTTATTTATTTACTTTGTATTGTTGAACCCCCCCCAAAAAAAAACAAATGCAACCGCCGAAAAAAATATAGTCTGTCACTTAAACGGTCAATGTATGACTGAATATATTGTATACCGAACTAGCAAGAACGATGTCCAATTCCAAGAACGATGTCAAATTCCAAGAACGATGTCAAATTTTAGTTTTGTCCCACTGAAAATCCTTGAAAATTTTGTTTATTCCATTATCGAATTATTTAGGCAATATAAATACATAATGGGCAGCGCTCTCTCAAAACATTTCTGGCAATTAAATAATAGTGGTAATACATCCATTATTACGTGTGATATTTTGTATAAAGTTACATATTGTAAAGGTAATAAATGTAATTTATGTTTTGTAGAAAAATTATTTATCGTAAAACATTTAAATAACCCTAATTTATTAAACAAGGGAAATGAATTGATAGATACATATAGGCATTAAAATAAATATCTGCTTAATTACGTTGATTCAGATGATTTTTAGTGCGAAATATGTTTTTAAAGCACCAGTAATCTTAATATAAAACATTAATATTCACAACTCTAAAAGAATATTATTTTTTTCACATACACACACACACACATATATATATATATATATATATATATATATATATATATATATATATATCCCGTTTATTTTAAAAGCCAAATATAGATATATGCATGTTTAAAAATAAATAAAAAAAAAACTGTAATTCCTGTATAATATATGACTGCGCTAAAATTGCAGTAACCAGATAATTTTATTAAAATTTAAATTACGAAACGGTGAGCCTATACATGAAAATTGCATTGTGCATGAAACTCCGTGTCGGGCTACTGTTGAGGGATAATATGTATATTTATTAATATATTCTTTATATCTCTGTTTTATTACATCAAGAACTGTTTTTTTATTAACACCAGCATTATATGTACGATATATATATATATATATATATATATATATATATATATATATATATATATATATATATATATATATATATATATATAGTGTGATGGGTAAATTGTCACCCTTTCATATTTTTAATTTCGCCTATGTGCGTTGTTTGGTTTTGATTTTGTCCTCTGCAGAGTATAGTAGGGTCAGTTGGGCGCTGTCTGTGAGTAAAGAGTACCATGACGCAATTCACTCCGACAGAAATTTGGAAACAGCATATAGTACGAACATTTAACAGTGATTGGGTGTCAATGTGAGGACAATGCAGGGGATACTGTGTCCGCAAAAGATGTACCGAGAGTGATGAAAACCAAATATCCAATCAACATCATGGTTTCTGAAGTGATCACTAGTGATGGCAATGTTATGCCTCCATTTATCATCCCACGTGTTCTCATACACAACACAGAGGACTCCGTCAAGTGCATTGAGGAGGTAGTGCTGCCTTGGGTCAAAAGGGTTGGATGCAGGAAGACTCTATATCTGACAATTTCTGTGTCTACATCACCTCTTACATCTGGCTACCTAACTCCCCAGACTGCAACCCTCTTGATTATTTAGTGTGGGTCGCAGTTGAGCAAGAGAATAAAAAAACCTCCGTGTAACACCAAAGATGAACTGAAGGCAAGGATGGCAGCATTCACCAACAAGGGGACCGGCTAGAAGAGTTGCAGGAGATTCCGAAATCGTCTGTAGACCGTGGTTGAAGACAATGGCAATTTTATTGAATAAATTTACATTTTAGCATTTCAAGATATTTTTGTTTACTACTGGTCAATGTACCCGTTAAAATGAAATGTCAATGCTATTTTAATTTTTGTGTAATTTAGACGACAATTTGTAAAGCGCACCCTATCTCTCACTCTCTCTCTCTCTCTCTCTCTCTATATATATATATATATATATATATATATATATATATATATATATATATATATTGGACAAGCAATCTTTTGTTTAAATAGTTTTACTTAAATAAAAATTACATAGAATGGCTAACTGTGGCAACCCATCAACAAAATTTCGGCTCGCACGTTACCATAAAATTCCGCTAAAATCTCTTCCATGAACAAAGCGTATCCACCCATTTTCTTGTGTCGTTATGCACATAAGCCCG